CCCCGGTGTCCCGTGTGTGCCCTCCCCTCAGGCCTTGCCCTGTGCCTGTCCCGGGTGTGTGTCACGCCGCAGCCCAGCCGTGCAGCCCCGGCCGTGCCCTCCCTGCACAGCTGTGCTGGGTTTCCACACCTGCACATCCGCGCTGCAGCTGCGGCCGCCGTCTGCAGCTGTGCTGGGCGGCTCCGCTGTGTGTGGCTGTGGTGGCTTTGAGGGGAAGGAGGGTCGGCTCAGATTGGGTGTTAGGGGAAATAATCGCACCTGTGAGGATGCTGAGGCCCCTGGCGATGGTTGCCCAGAGGAAGCTGTGTCTGCCCCATCCCTGGAAGTGTTCAGGGCCGTTTTAGACAGGGCTTGGAGCAGCCTGGGATAGTGGAAGGTGTCCCTGCCCATGGCAAGGAGTTGGTACGAGATGGGCTTTAAGGTCCCTCCTGACCCAAATCATTCCAGGATTCTATTCCACAGCTCACCTGTAATGAAGGCTGTACGTTTCTGATGTCTTAAAATCATTAAATCGTAACAAAATAATCCTCTAAAATTATCTAGAGCTTTCAAGATGAGCAAACACCCAAGCTTGTGTACTTTACTGGATAAAGGGTAGCCTGCATTAAACTATCACTGTTGTTTCCCTAAGGTGTTGGAATCTGTTTTCCAGGTGTTTCAGCCCAGTCATTCCTTCACTGCTTTACTCTGGCCAGCTCTGCCTTTAATCTGCAAGTGGCGACTCCTGGGGTGAGTGCAAATGGACAAATACTGCAATTTCAGCCTGAAACCATTGACATCTTAGTTGTCATGAGGTACTTGTACTATAAATATATTGAGAGGAGTTTTATTTGCCAGAGACACTAAGGGACCTGTTTAGTTCTGTTTTTCTAATACCAAAGTGACCATAGCTTTTCTATAGCGTGGATTTGGATTTTCTGTCCAGTATCTGTTCCTGCAAAGAGTGGAGGGAAAACTGTTAGCACTAATTCAGTGGGAAAAATGGAAAACTTCAGCTTTTTGAGAGCTGAAAGCTCCCACGTGGCCATCCTTCAGGAAGTGTGATGGATGCTTGTGCAGTGATCCTGACCACGGAGTGTTGTCCCCAGGGGAAGCCCATTGATTTTGTGGATGTGAACGAGGGCAACACACGCTGGATCCAGGACTTCCGTATGAAATCCTACGCCAACCCCGCCAAACTGGAGTCCATTGATGGTAAGAGTGTCACTGTCACCATAGGCCATATCATCTCCACTGTCAGGGAAACAAGACCTGCTTAGGGCCAGGATTTTAGGGAAGAACAACACAGAAAAGGCAGGAAAGTTGTGTTTCAAGAGAAAACTGTGGCAGCTGCAGTTGTTGGTTTACTTTTTATTTAAGAGGAAGTCCTGGGACAGCTTTGCAACTTTGTCTTGGAATCGTCATTCTCTTTCAGTATACATGCAACATATACATATAATGTCTGTGTTGTATATAAGCACACTTAAGTAACATTGTTACTTGTTTAAAAAAAAAAATTGCTGAAGTAGGAGCCGGCAGACAGAACACTTGTAAGTTTTGCCTGGGTCATCACAGCTCATTAAAAATGTGTGTCTCTTGTCCTAAGAAGGACCTTTGTCTCTCATCTGTGTAGCTCTGTTAGTTTCTTTAGGTCATTTTTAACTGATTTATGTGGGTTTGTCCTCTTGTTTCCAAATGTGCAGTGGACTTATGGTCAGGCTTTTTGTCCTACAATCTGTTCCTACAATCAGTTCCTGCTTTCCTCCCGACCAGGGGCTCGGTACCACGCCCTGCTGATCCCAAACTGCCCCGGGGCCATGACTGACCTGGCCAACAGCGGGTACCTGGCCAAGATCCTGCAGCACTTCAGCACTGAGAGCAGTAGGTGAACATCCTCGGGGGGTTGGGTAAATGAAACAGGGCTCCTGTGCTGCCTCTTGCAGGATGGCTGCCTTCCAGAGACTTCAAAGTGTTTGCATGGCTAAAGAGCATTCAGAACTGGGAAGGAAAAAGGTGTCTTCAAGGGGAGGGAACAAATGTTTTAATGGGCCTTTAAAAAAAGGAAAGGGAGACTTAGAAGAAAAAATAGTAGCCTAAGATGTCTTAAAAAGGGAGTCTTGAAAGGAAGGAAAAAAGTGTCCTGATGTGTCTTAAATAGGAAAAAGGGAGCCTTGAAAAGAAAAAAGAAGTCTTAAAATATCTTGAAGAGCAATGCCAATAGATTTTCAGAGCTTGTCTCAGAAGAAGGATTTGCTGCCTTACAGTGGTAGGGAAACAGCTCTGTCCAAATCAGCAGCATTCAAGGCTCAGAGCCAAGTGTGGAATGTCCCAGGATTATCATTAAGGCTGCAGTTAATCAAGACTTGGGGTGTGCTCCACATTTGTGGAACTTGGAGTTAAAAGCTGCAATTCTTGTTCTTCCTCCACACTCACCTGTGTTTTAATTATTTGGAGATGCTCACAAATGTGCTTTAATTCTTTTCTAGAGCCTATCTGTGCTGTGGGACAGGGAGTGGCAGCTTTGTGTTGTGCCACCAATGAGGATAAATCCTGGGTTTTCCAGGGATACAGCCTGACAGGGGTAAGTCAAGCTTTTACCTGATTTTTGCTGTGTGATTTCTGGTGGTTTTGGTCTTTCCCAGGAACTTCCTATAAATATAAACTATCAGTTTGATGTACCCTTGGCTTGTGCAAGATGTGCAGAGTTGTCTTTGACAAGGGGCCCAGCACTGAGTGCATGATGGGTTTGTCCCACTTAAGTGGCATGTGGGGAATGCTTTCCCTCTGATTGTTCAGTAAATTTTAAACTGAACACAAAAAAAAAAAAAAAAAAAAAAAAAAAAGCTGGAAATTCCTCCTACAGCTCTTTCCATTTGTTGATGGGGACTTATAAAAATTTTTGTTTGTTTGATGAATGCTGGGGATAAGTTGTATTTCTCAAGGTGCTGTTTCTTTTTAAAAGGTAGAGGGAGTCTTAGGAAAAAAGTTAGAATATGTTTTAGGAAAAAAGGCTGTTTCTACTTGCTTGCAATTAAAGTAGCCAGTTACTGCTGATACTTTATTTTATGTGCTCTGACCTCCCAGCCCATTTTATAGTGCCAGAGTGATGCAAATTGCCCTAGTACAGCTTTCTAGTATGGAAAATTTACAGGGAAAGTTAAGAAATTAAGATTTTGCGACTCACAGAAGCTATTAGTGTTGTCATATGCTTCTGTTTGAGTTAAGGATTATTTATGGCTCTATATGGATTGTTATAGTGCATGATGAAATATTTTAAATCTTGTTGTAGCTTAGCTGTGGTTGCTGTGGAAACCATAAAATTAAATTCCTTCCTTTTGCAAATAAAAGCTCTTAAGTGCTCCTAAATTTTTTGTCTGGAAGCTGTTTCCCATATTCATTCCAACATGGATTACTGTTTATGGAGGTGGCACAGCATCTGTGTCCAAATATTTGTGTGCCATGTACAGACAGGTCTGTGCCTTCCTGAAGTTAATCACACCTGCAGAAATTTGTTTGGTGGTGTTTTTTCCTCTTTACTTAACTCACTTAAGAGTTTCCAGTTTGCTCCTTACCCAAAATCCATCAAAGCTGTTTGTCATTTGATTGGGAGAATAGTAGAAGGAACAGAAATATCAATTTCAGGGTAATATGTGCTGGTTTTGCTTGGCTTTTTCTGTAAAAAGCCAGCCAAACTGATTTCCTTTTGATCTATTTCAGCCCTCTGTGTACGAGCTGGTGAGGCAGCCGAATTTTGCCAGTTTGTCCATTATTGTGGAGGATTTTGTGAAGGATTCTGGAGCTACATTCAGTGGTGGGTCATGCCTGGTGTCTGGGATGGGCACTTCATGTCTCCTTTGGGAAATGAGTGTGTTTGTGTGCTGGTTGTGTCCAGCTGAGCAGGGATCTCTCATCTGGCATTCCCATTCCCTCATTTACCAGTACCTCACTGGCCATTTGCAAGGCCAGTTTGACAGGGCTTGGAGTAGCCTGGGATAGTGGAAGGTGTCCCTTTCTCTGGCAGGGGGATGGGACTGGGTAAGCTTTAGGATCTCTTCCAACCCAAACCAGTCTGGGAGTCTGTCTGGAGTGAGGTAACTTAAAAATTCTGTTTGGGGTGCTGAGCAGTTGCAGTTTTGGGATCGGAGCACTCTGGGGTGTTGTAATTGGCCAGAAAATGAGAATTTAATTTTGTAGCATGGTGATCACCATGCTACCATCAGCTCATGTCTGGCATAAGAAGAGTTAATGTTGTATTGTGAGGTAATAGTAACTTTCAAATACATACTTTGAGTTTTTTAATATGAAAATGTCCTGATATGTGTGCTTTACCCACCTGGTGTTAATTGAATCAAGGACCCAGTCCTGTCCTTTCAGAAAAATGTTTCCTAGGGAAATTGTTTCAGGATGAGGGGATTGAGACTGCCTCTCTCTGCTGGGGTAATAGATCAGCACCCAACAGATCTATCTGGCCAAAATAGTTACGTGTTGTTTGTGTGGGGTTTATCAGTGGTGTGATTCTGGCACTGAACTTGTGTACCCTGATGCAATCCCTGTGTTGTTCCTCCTGTGTTCAGCCAGCAGCCCAGATGCTGTCCATGTGGTGCTGGACAGGCACCTGGTGACAGGACAGAATGAGAATTCCACCCTTCCTGCTGTCCAGAACCTTCTGATTCTTTGCAATGTCAGGTGAGGCAAGATGGAACTTAAGAACTGGGAACAGCCAGTGGTGAGCATCATTTGGTATCAGGAATACTGTCCCTCAGAAGGGGTTTTTCCCCTTGGTTTTCTGCTGAAGTGTGTGTCACTTCTGTTTGATCAAGCCAGCCAGGCAGTTGTGTCATTTGACAAAGAGCATTTGATTATTTTAAAAGAAGAAGATGAAAATGTATGGGGAAATGCACAGCTGTAGTGGAACTGGCAAAGTAAAGTGCTGAATAGGCTTCACTAAACATTTCTATTCAGGGAAACATCTCTTGTTTTTTGAGCTTTGGGAGGCTGGCTTTGAGTCAGCTCTGATTTAGGATTCTGGGAATGAATGAATTTAATTTCTTTGGAAATGGCTTGGCTTATTTGAGTGTTATCTTGTCAGATAAAAGGGGACATATGAGTAACCACAAACCCCTTTTTTTGTTCAGGTGAATGTGTGGTACCAGTCCTGTCCTGGCTGTGCATTAACAGATCCTGTCGTGTCTGGGTGTGTTTCCTTCAGCAGGAAATGAAGGAGAAGGTCTCTTGCAAAGAGGATGGATGAAGAGCCAGAAGGTTGAGGATTTCCATGACTGTGACCTGGATGAGACACCCCTCTGAACCCCTGTCCTGGACTCTGAAGTGACTGTGGCAGCGAAGTGGAAGTGTCAGGTTCTGTTTGGATGGAATGGATGAAGGTTGTCAGAAGCAGCTGGGACACCCCCTTACATTTTTGCTGCTCCACTGCTTCTCTAGACCTTCAGTTTACAGATGTGGGGAACTGTCTCCTCAAAATCCCCCCAAAGTTGGTGCTGTGAATACTAATTGCTGAGGCTGAAGCCCTTGCTCTGGGTTGGCATTGTACTGGTGTACAGTGTGCCCTTGTTTTCTTCCTGTTCACATTGCTGGAATTGTGTTTAAAAAGTTTGCTCAGCTGGTTTTTTTTTTAACACGGTCCTACAATTGTTTATTTGTTCTCCTTTGTGCTGCTTATGTTGTGGGTTTTGTTCTCTTGGAAATGCTCCTCTCTGGAAGCACGCTGCTGTTGTCTCTTGCTGGAATTTTGTGGACTAGGGCACGGTAAAATGCAGCTGGCTGATGTGGATCCCGTCTGAGGAACCAGCTGTAGGGTGGAGTCTGGACTCCTCCTTCCTCCTGAGCTGCAGGTGTGGCTTGAAGCTGAGCATAGAAAGCAATAATCAGACTGAGATTTTTTTTTTTTTTTTTTTAATTGTTGCAGGCTCAAACATACCAAATATATTGGAAAGCAGATAAATTAACTTTCAGATAATTGATTTTCCTTCCTTCTTGGAATTGTGGGGAACATTTCTTCAGTGCCCTAAAGAAATGGGGATGCATTTTTGTTTTCTTACCAGGATATTGTAATATTTTGGTTCTAACAAGTCATCAAATAGGGAAATCTTGTCTTTTCTGTGAAAATCCATTTCTTTAGCTCTGTCTCAAGAATCCAGTGTGATTTTAAGACAGAGTGCTGTGGGTTTGCTGGATCTTCTGCTGTTGCATTCTGGAGCCTAGCTTACAGGTCTGTGGCATTGATGGAAATTAAATCCAGAATTTGAAATGAAAAATTGGCTTTGATAGAAATTAAATTATCAATTATCTTTGATAATTTAAATCTTCATTCCTGACAAGCCAGCTTGGGGATTAGATGTTGACACCATCAGGAAATATTTTCAGTCAGGAAAGCCACATCTTGTTTGTGAAGTGGGAGACTGTATTTCCTTAGGGACTGTGTTTCCATGGGATTTTGCCAAAATTGCTACATCTTTCACTGCTTACCTGTAAAAATAGAACATTGGTGTCTACCCTGTGTCCTGTTTTCATTCCTTAAATGAGGTTCTGTCCAGGCTCATTCATCTGCTCCCAGGTGAGCAAACAGCGTTCAGACCACTACAGGTTTTGATCAGTCCCGTTGTACAATTTTTCCTTATTTTGTGGCATCCAGGACCTGCTGGAATTGCTCTGCTTGTGCCTCTGTCAGGAAGCAAACAGTTGGACAAAGCACACTGCCTGGGGACTTGATGGTGCTTTCTTTTTCCTCCCATATGAGAGCAGAAAAAAGATGAGTTGCTGTGTGTATTTTCACTCTTTCCCATCACACATCCACTTTTATTTCCTCAGCCATGAAGTTGCTCTTGGGAAAACTGGGGGAGAAAGGTGTGGTTGAGCAAGTGGCTGGAGGGGTGATGTGTGCAGCTTTGTGGGGTGGCTCTGGGTGCGGTGGGCTGGACTGTGTCACCTTCACAAGTCATGCTGACAAACTGGGAGCCATCTGAGTCATAGAATCATGGAATTTAAGTTGGAAAAGAGCTTTTAAGATCAAGTGCAGCACCATGTTCACCACTCAGCCTCAGGTATCACATCCACGTGTTTTCTGAACCCTTCCCAGGATGGTGCCTCCACCACTGTCCTGGGCAACCTGTTCCAGTGTTTGCTGTCTCTTCCCATGAAGAAGTTTTCCCTAATATCCAACCTAAACTTCCCCTGGCACAACTTGAGGCCATTAGTGATGATAGCTTTTAAGCTCTTGTACAGTATGACCAATTTTAGCCAGGGATTGGAAAAAATTGTTCAAGAACTGTGGGAAAAGAAGATGAAATGCATGTGGAAAACACAAAGTTGGTGAATGTCATCTGGTTATGTTCAGGAAAGTTTTATTCTGTTTATTTTCAGTGTTAATTTTGTTCTACAAAACTCGATAGTTTATTTCTTATTTTCTTTCACCTAAAAGGTATTTACATCAACTAAGATTATGAAGTGGCATTACACAAAGAGCAAGGATTTTTTGATAATTCTTGCATTTTAAATTTCCTGTGGGAAGAATTTAGATACCTCAGGTTGTGTCTCCTGTACCTTTAGTTTAGTTGTGGCTGAGAGGCTCTGTGAGCAATCCCATTCCAGGTATCCAAATGGTGTTTATACTGAGGGGTTTTTGTCTCCAGGGCAGAATCTGCTTCCCAAAGAAGTGAAAACCTTCAAATTCATCCCACACAAACCTTTATAGTTTTAGCATTGCACTGTGCAGGAATGCACAGTGGTCCTAGGAATGTTACCAGCCAGGCTTGTTTCCTTGGAAATCTGTTTCTGGTAACATCCAGCTGGTGGGTTTTAATGTTTTATTTATTTGGGTAGGGGATTGGTTTTATTTTCTAGGGTCTTACTGATTTTGTTTTTGGGACTCACAGTGTTACATCTTCTCTGGGCTTAATAGCTGGGACCACATCCTCTGTTTTCCTCTGATTTTTTTGCAGGCAGCAAAAAAATGCAGTTACCTGCTAGAAGCATCTGAGTGCCTCTGCAGCACGTGAAGCAGGACACTGCTGTCCTGCACCCCACAAAGGATTTCTTCACCAAAAAGAAGAAATCCTTTGTGTTTGGAGAATTCCTCCACCACCCCTAAGGTATGGGAGCCTTTCCTGGCAGGTTTACACCCAATCTGGGAAGAGGGGTGCTGGTGCAGCAATTGGGAAACTGCTTAACTCTGGAAAACAGAGCCCCCAGACCTGCCTGTGGGTGTGATCTCAATTTTCATGTTTTTGGGGATCCTGACAAGATGTTTGAACTCCGGCCCTGTCTGCAGCTGATGGTTGTTGGTCATACCAGCATTCCATTTGTGTATTAACATATTTAATTAAGAATCTTTTCTTGGAGCTTCCACAGTATAATCTTGTAAAACAAACCTAAATTAATTCTTTTTATTGGAACTTGCTGCTTTATTTATCTTGTGTGCATTCAAATGAGGGCCAGAAGAGATGGAAGTGGCTCTTTGGTCCTGATTTACTTTAAAATTTCAAATGGAACTGTCTGGGTTTCGTGCCATCCATACCAGCCTGTGATGGCTGTATTGGCTAGACATAACCAGTGAATCTAAGGACTAATTTTAAATTAAATCCCATGTTGGGAGGATGAATATAAATGGATGTACTTATTGTGTCTTTCCAACAGTTCTGCTTTCCTCTGCCCTGTTTCAAGAATGGAGGAGGTGCTGGGAGCAGCAGTGTGTCTCCCTTAAGTGTGTGATGGGATGCAAGGCACAGCTGGAGGAGGAAGAAAAACCTTTTCCAAACCCCCTCCAAGCTTTGTGTGTTTGCACAGAGCTGGATGTTGGAATCAGAGAGCAGCCACCACAAGGAAAGGTTGGGAAAGGTGCTGACATTTTTAAATCAATGCTTTAAAGTTTATGTATTGACTCTTGGGGATTTCTCCAAATGTTGTATCTGCCCCTAATTCCTGAGTCCTGAACTTGTGACTGTGAGAGCCACAGACCTTTCTGGGAGACAAGAGACATCTCCTGATTTCTTAAGCTGAGGAGATATGGAGATCTGGGAAATCCCAAAAGGAGTTTGTAAGCAAGGCACAGACAGGGCCCTCAGAGAGATCCCTCAGTCTGCTGAAGAGAGGGGAAGTTGAGGAAGAGTTAAGGAGTAAACACACTTTGTGTGATTGACTCAAGATCTGCACAGGCTGAAGGTTTATGTGGTGCTTGGTTATTTTTCACCGTTTCAGAAAGGATGTGGACTTTGTGGCTTAGCCACGGATGTCAGGCACCTCACAGCATCCATCTGTGCTGCAGAGAAAGAAGCCCAGTGCTGAGGAGGAAACACCAGCTGCCACCACAGCAGGGAAGGGACCCCATGACTGAACATTTTAAGCATAACTTGTTCCCCTCTTGCCCTTTCAACTCTTGAGAGGCATCTGTCGGTGAGTGGTGGAAGGCTTAACTGTTACTCAGGCACCTTTTCCTACCTCTTTATCCCCTTCCACTGCAGTATTTCATTCTCTCTTAAGCACCTTCTGCAATGTTTCAGTTTTGTTTGAGCTCCATAGTGTTCCTGACCCAGTTGTGTCTCAGCTATGTGAGGGGACAGATTCCATGCATGTGAAGGTTCTTGCCTCAGGGGGAAAAAGGAGCATTTATTCCAGAGGCTCCAAGCCTCTTACCAGCCAGTTTGATAGCACCAAGTCCCCAAATTCTGTGTGCCCCAATCCCTAGCCTGCCCTGGTGGGTGCAGTGTGTGGTTTAGAGCACAGCAACCTGTTCCTGGCAGGGCAATGGACTGAGATGCTCTTCAAAGTCCCCTTCCACTCCAAACCATTCTGGGAATCTCTGTTGGAATTCTCAGTTTAGTAAGAAAAATTACTTCATTTTGCATGATAGGTGAAATTGAGAAGGGATGTGCAGTGGAGGGCTGTAGGGAGGGGTAGGATCAAGCTCTTAGTGCTGGCTTGATTTTGACAGGATAAAAGGTCACCTCCCTTTGGGCAGCCACTTTCCGCCTGGTCTGCTTTCCCCCCTCACCAACAGCTGTAGGACAGAAGGTCTGGATGAGTTCCCTGGGGACTTCACCTCCCTCTGGCAGGCTGGCACTGTTCCCAGGGCAGTCTGGGAGTGCAGCACCAGCTGTCCCATGTCTGGCTGTAGCTGGCTATCCCTCTGGCTGGAACAGCAGCTCCCAGGTTGTTCTGGATGTGCTGATGGCAGAGCTGCTGTGTCACACTGGGGTGAGGGATCAGTGGCTCTCTCAGTGTGAACGCAGCACGTGTCTATCAACACCGGAGCCACATTGCTGCCTTTTCTCCCTCTTTTTAGGTTCAACTTTGTCAGGAAACAGCAAATTTCATCCACATATAAGAAGGGAATCTCCTAGAATCATGGAATGAATCACTGAGGTTGGGAAGGACTGCTGAGACCAGCAAGTCCAGCCAAGTTCCCCAGCACTGCCAGGGCCACCACTACCCCTGTTCCCAAGTGCCACATCCACGTGCCTTTTAAATCTCTCCAGGGATGGGGACTCAGCCACTGCCCTGGGCAGCTGTGCCAGCTTTCAGTGAAAATTCTAAACCTTCCCTGGCACAACTTTAGGCCATTTCCTTCTTGTCCTATCACTTGTTCTTGTCTGCTCTTCATAGAACAGGATCTATATAAACTAGTAATGTACACGTGTATTTTGACATATATATGTGTCCCAAAGGAGTAGCTGCGGGTTTTGTACCAAGAGAGGCTTGTGAAACCTGTGTTTGCTCTTTAAAACAACCTGAAATTAAAAACTGTTTTCTTCAATGTGTTAGGACTGGAGACTTAATTAGGAATTTCAAATAGGAATTTGAAAATTAAAGTCCTATCAGGGGTCTCCCGCAGCAGTGAATTGACCACGTTACAAGGCAAGTCGGTTTTAATTTGCATGTATTGACAAAAGTGCCACAAAATTTGAAATTCCATTTGTCCCTTTGCAAATTGATAAAAAAAAAATCATGATACAGAAATCTATCCATACACAGCATGATACTTGTACAGGTAAGACATTTGTACATCCACTGAACCTCAGGTGATCCACCTCAGCTCGAAGCACTCAGGGAAATGCTGATTATTATTTTTTCGTTTTTATTTTCCATTTTCAGTGCTGAACATTCGTTCCTAGAAAAAAAATAAACAAAGCATGGCTGGGTAAGAGTTTGGGAATGCTGCAAGGAGTTGCCAGTCTCCAAATGCTTAGATCAGGTATACTAAGTATTTCTTACCCAAAAAAACACAGTTTGATGAATCCCGTGTGAAAGCCTCTCCACAATCTGACATAAGACTGACAGCACATCTGCTCTTTCTTAGTGCCTCCAAGTACAAACATGATTTATTTCTAGCTCACTACCTGCAGATTATTTGTGTCTTGTACTGCTGCTGACAGCGCAGAATCAGATTTAAGGGACTTCTCACTTTGACAGTTATCCTGAGGAGCTGCCAGTCCTGCAGCCTCAAACTGCAGGTGTGGCTCACACCTGGCAGGAATTCTTGGCGTGCAGTAAAGCTTACCAAGCTCACTGAATTTAGGTGGCCTATCTACATAACCTGTCCAAAGACCTGACCAGACTTGCTTAATCCTCAGCCACACCAGGCCGGCTGCAGTACACAGGAGCATCGTGATACCTACCTTTAACATCCTCTCCAGCTTAACTGCATCTGCAGCAAATCTCCTGATCCCATCAGAGAGCTTTTCCACAGCCATTTGGTCTTCGTTGTGGTGCCAGCGGAATGCCTTCTCATCCAGGTGGATCTTCTCAAGATCGCACGCCTGAGCTGTGCAGGAGAAGTAGAAAAAGAAACAGATCAGGCGATCAGATTCTTACCAAATTCAGACTTCTTAAAATTCTCTTGAGCTCTGACCATTTCTAAGTGTTGGAAAAATTTTAAATTGAGTATGACTTGCTGCAGGAGCACAATCTGGGATGTGAGACTGAAAGTACTCCTGATCTGGCTGGAGGAGAACAAAGAGGAAAAAGAAGAAGGTAGCCTAATAAATCAATTTATCTTAACACAGTGTTTGTGTGTGTCATTATCTTGTACCTGCTGCTGAATGGCACAGCCTATTTTATTCCAGGCCTATTTTAAGGAATTGTGCAACCACCCGGCAGCAGTGAGACATTCTAAGCAAATACTCTGAACAATCGGGGCTTTGATTATTTGGCAAAAACTAACAAAAGCTCGCTTGATAGCAGGCTCCCAGGCCAGCAACAGCCTGTGGGCAGCTACCCATGGCTACAGCTGTGCGCAAAACTGCTTTCTGAGATGTCAACCAGCATTTTAATGAGGCTGCAGAAAAGGGAGAGTATCACAGAATCCTTAAATTATTTGGGTGGAAAGGAACCTAAAAGCTCATTCAGTTTCACTCCCTGGCCACAGGCAGGGACACCTTCCACTATCCCAGATTTCTCCAAGCTCTATCCAGCCTGACCTTGAAGTAGTGTAAACTACTTACTTACTAGTGTAAACTACAAAGTGACCTTAAAGGAGTCCAAACCATTATGGCACAGTGTCACCAGATCAAATCGCTCAGTCTTGTCTGATTTGTTCCTGATTTCTGGAGGGAAAACACCTCTTGGCACGTCTAGAGATTAAGATGAAACCAAGTTTGGCATCTTTGCTACTGTTCAGTAAAATTTCATCCTGAGCATGTGCAGATTAACTTTCCTCTTCTCTCCCTGTGCCCTGGGGAGAGGTGCATAGTATGGAAGCACTCCAAACCATTGCAATCCAATTGGTGCTCAGTGTGTCAGCAAGTGTAGCAGTGATATTGCACTGAGGCTACAGCCTTTCCTTCTGAGGCTACAATATTTCCTCTAGGAAATTTGCTTTATCCCTAAAGCAGGATAGCTGCAAGCACCACAGCACTGACCAAAACCCCAGACTCAATATTGCAGGAGGAAGACTGAATAAGCCTTCAGGAGTGGACTCACCCTGTTTGACACTGAGTGTGGGAGTTAACTTGACGTGCTCGTTGCTGAGCTCTGCCAGGAGCTTGGGTGAAATGGTGAGATAGTCACAGCCTGTGAGCGCTTTGATCTGGCCTGTGTTGCGAAATGAGGCGCCCATCACGATGGTTTTGTAGCCAAACTTTTTGTAGTAGTTATAGATCTTGGTGACACTCTTCACTCCTACAAGTAGAGACCAGAAACTTTATTGTAAGTGATTATTTAGAACATGCTCAAAACTGGCATTTTGCCTTAAGAGTATTTTTACAAGTAAACTGAATGAGCAGCTGTGTTAAATCTGTGCTCACCTGGATCCTCTGAAGGCTCATAGGTTTTCTTGTCTCCATTTGCAACATACCAGTCCAGGATCCGTCCCACAAACGGGGAAATCAGAGTAACTCCAGCTTCAGCACAGGCAACAGCCTGGGCAAAGGAGAACAGCAAGGTCATGTTGCAGTGAATCCCATACTCGGCCTCCAGAACCCTGCAGACACAGGCTGGCTTAGAACAGCACTTTGCTCACCTATGGAATTCATATTCAGGAATGAGCAGCTAAGTTCAAACTACGGAATTCCTTGAGTTAATTTAGGAATGGGGTGCACTCGGTAAGCTTTAAAGTTTTCAGCTAACAGCAAATGCTTTGTGCTGTCAAACTCTGCTTTATTAATGCTGTTCCTCTGGCCAAATGCAGCCAGCTTAGCAGGGTATTGCAGGAAACTGTGGCCTTGCCCTTGTATGAAGAAACTTTCCCTATTTCAACAGCAAGCTGTGGCAGAGCACCTTCTGTGCTCGTGACAGACTTCCTCATGCCGTGCTTTCAGCACTGCTGTTTATTTGAGTGAAGAATGCGATGTCAGTGCCTGTGGACAGGCAGGAGCATGCAATGAATCAGCACACCAGGCACACACAGCCTTACCTGCCAGCCTGGATTCCTTCCCACGTTGAAGAGAGCTTGATGAGAATCCGATCTTTACCAACTCCTACTTCCTTGTAGAGGTCGATGAGGCGCCTGGCCCTTTGAATCATTCCTTCCTTATCAAAAGACAACCTTTGAGGCAAGAGCAGGACTGTTTAAAATTAGTTTACTTTTGCTTTTAAAATTCTCTTCCCCAGGGCCCCATGGAAAAACATTGTCGTGTTTTATCAGCATTGACGTGCCAACAGCAGGTTTGTGTTCTCAGATCCCTCCTAGACTGTCAGCCCTTCAAGAAGGAAGCTTCTTAAAATCAATTCAGAAGCTGAGTGTTAACAAAAATTGGCACTGAGCAAGTTAACAACCAAGTCCTGTGCGAGTCTTGAAAAAAACTGTTCAAACACATCTCTTACTAAATTGGGCAGCTATTATCACATAGAAGAGCATGAGCAAAACTATGACTGAAGTGTGAGGTTTCCCTTGCTTGAGCAGCAACAGGAATATTATGAAAATCCAAGGTCAGTGCTGCTTGTTTTTGTTACAGAGTTATAGTCAAACTAAGGGAAATCCACACTCTTAAACATTAATAATAGAAGTCCTCCTAGTCTTCTAGGGGAGAAAGGTTTTTGTTTTTTTTTCTCCAACTCACATGAGGTCACTTTTTGTAGTTAAAAATATCCAGGGTAACCAGAGGAAAAAGAACCAACCTAGCATCTACTTCTGTGGACACACGGCCAGGTATCCTCTTCAGGATTTCAGCTCCAAATAATACAAAAAGTTTGTCAGAAGCATTTTTGATCTGCTCCTCTTCAGACCTGAAAACCACAAAGAGCAAAAGTATTTATGGGGGTAAAAAAAAAAGGTGAGTTTTCACTTTGCTGTGGATTTGAAGATCAAATTTCACAGCCCATTTAACATTAAATTCCAGAGTTCAAATGAGCCACTTCTGTCCTGCCAGCAAGCTTAGCCTTTGGACACTCCTTCCTGTAGTGCTGTTGTTTTCCTGAGCAAGGAGGGGCAGGTGTGAGCTGGGAAATGGGGATGCACTTCTTAAAAGCACATCTGGAATGGGGGTAAGGAATTTTTCTCTTAAGTGTTGAGGCCTTTTGGGGCAGGAGACAAACCCACAATTACATGATGGGGAAACCCCAGTACGTTGCTTGTGAATAAATAAGGCACTTTAAATATAGGTCTGCTGAGATTAAACCCCTCTTTACTTACCCACCAAGCTTCTTCCCATAGGCAACAGCATCATCCACAAGCTTCTGGTATGCCGGCATCTGAGCAGCAGCAAGGATCAGGGAGGGGTTTGTGGTGGCATCCAGGGGCTTGTACTCATCTATGGCTAAGGAAAGAAAACCAGCCTGTTTGAAACAGCCAGCCAGCCTGAGAAATCACAAGGATTTTGCTCAACCAGGTGAGAATGTTAATGCTTGTTAATGACAGAGCACATCAGCACCGAGTGGTGTTTAAACGCTGCCTGAAGGCTGGTTTGTGTCAGAGCACAGAACAACTGGGCTGCAGTCACAACATCCAGCAAACTTTAAAGTTTATAAACTACAGAAATGGCCCAAAAGTATAAATCTGTAGAAGTGATGGATGGAGAGAAGTAGTACTAATTTCCAAACTTCATCCCAACCAGCATAGCTGAGCTCCAGGAATCACAGAAGGGAATAAAGAACAGGGGACCTTCCCTTCAAGCAGTCAGAAATTCGGGCTTTTGTTTGTGTCCAATTGATGGAGCCTGGACAGTGAGGCTCCTGCACCTTTTCTTAGTGCTTTTAAACCTTTTCCAAACCGTTGCAGTTTCTCAGTATCCGCTCTTCTCACTTCCTTGTCCTACCAGGAAGACACTTGACCATTGGTCTTACCCTAAGCCCTGGACTACGCCTGTTCCAGGTGTGATGCCAGGTTTTGCTCCAGCAGGCTGTGGCATACATTGGCTGTAATCACAGCCTGGCACCAGGGCAAATAGGGCAGAGTCTCTGCAGGCCACTCAGCAGTTTCAACAATGCAGTTAAAATGTAAAAAAAAAAACAAAACACAAACCCAAAATCTGTTACGAGCCACTTCTCCTCAGCATTTCTGCACAGCAATGAAACCCCAAGTGAGAGAGAACAACTGTACTAAAAATAAGCCTTGTTTTTCCATAGATTCCTCCCAGACAATGATCAGGATCTTGGAGAGAGGTCCACTCCATACAAACAGGTCCTTCAGAACCCTGCTCGTGGGTACTGCTTAAAGCAGAGCAGCACATCAGTGAAACTCTGTTCTGTACTGACACCTACAAACACCACCGGGAACCAGCAGCAGCAGCAACCACCTTCACCTCCACAAGTGTTTAACCTGCCAGGAGTGAGCCAGGTAAGGCTCTTGCCTTGTTAGGACTCTAAGAATAACCCCCAGGTGATAAGAGCAGCCCAGAAAACAACTTGGGGATATCCTAAGCAGGGCCAGGAGCTGGACTCGATGATCCCTGTGGGATATTCTACAATCCTTACTGCTGCCTGCACACAAACACCACCTTGGCCATCCTGGAGGTTTGTTTTTTTCCTGTGTCTGAGCTGTTGCCACCCCTTTGCTCTCTTCACCTTAAGTTTAGTACTCTTAAAACATTTGACAGTGGCCATTTAGGATAGCTTACTGTTACACCATCAGGATTAGGCAAGCAATGGAGGGATTACTGCAGGCCTGGGTGAGGAAAGGACAGGATAGGATTGAAGGTCTGCTCTACACAGCCCAGAGACACCCAGGGAGGGAATTCTTGGCTCTGATGGACAAAGCAGGCTCCCTGTCCATGCTGGGCCAGGCAGTGACAGCTTGGGAACGAGTGGCTTTTTAACGAAGGCCACCTCCCTTTCTCAGAAAGGAGTGTGCTGGCTCATTCTCGGGAGATAAGGGAAACAAAACCACTCTGGCATTATTTTTACAGAATCCTGTAATGATTGGGTTGGAAGCTACTTTTAAAATTGTCCAGTTCCACTCCCTACCACGGGCAGTGAAACCCTCCATTGGACCGGGTTGCCCTGTCTTGAGTTTGGAAAAAACCCGGACACGTCCCAGACCTAGACAGGTCACTGGAAGAAAACCCGAATTCATTAGCACAGCAGAGCCTGGCACTTCTTCCTGCCAGCACGCAGAGCTGAACGTGGTGGTCAGGGCACACTCGAGGGAGGGCAAACTGGGAGATCACGGCAGGGTCTGGAAAACGTCCTGCCTGGGCGGGATCTGCCCTGGCATGGGGACCAAGGCGCCGCCACCGAGCGCCTTCCCCCGCCCCCCCTGCGCCCGCAGGGTGGTTCGCTCCCCCCAGCGCGCGCCCCCTCGGCCGGGCGCGCCCACTCTCCGTGAAGGGGGGCGGGAGAGGGGGCTAAGGAGAAGGTGCGGTGACAGGATCCCCT